CGCTGGATGATGAGATAGTCATCAGAAGATGTTACAACACGCTATAAATGTCAAACATATCTGATGCTACCGAAAGAAAAACCCCAGAAGTCTCCCTCAATCCGGAGTCTTCTGCTTCAACCATATCGATCAACTCGCGTACTTCACGTTAAACGCTATCAATGAACAAGATTCCGCACAAATCTTGTGCGGCACCAACCTGCCCCAAACCGTACACGGAAAGACCAACTATAAGGAAAGAAAATGAAGAAATCAAGACAGAAGCGATCACCGACAGAAACACAGACACGATCACCGTTGGAGGCGGCTGCCTAGATTGTCGTAGTGGTACCTCCGTACGCGACAAAGTCGTTATATCATAGTCCTTGAAGTCGTCTACCGAAAAGCTAGTTGGTGTCGTTCTCGATCATAACGTAGTCACGATAGTAGATAGTCGTTGATCAAAGAGTCCTCACAATGAGAGCGTTCAGTTAGATGACGTGACTCTCGAATAGCCTTGACCACGTCGGCTATATCCTTATGAGAACGTTCCCAGAACGATAAATGCTGGGAGTATCCTGGCAGGACGTACTGCTTAGTGCCATGACGTTGTAGAACTCGGCGTACAGGCCTTGACATCAGGCTGATCCGATCATGGTCGCTTAGAACGACCGAAGGTGACCCATGTTCACAGAACACACCATGTATAGCATCGGCAACCGTACCACCCTTGACGTCATGCATAGGTCTTGCAGCAGTAAAGCCACTTACATAGTCTTGGACGAGAAGGACGTAATATGGACCATTACCATCGGTCTTCTGGTCGTTAGGTTTAGTAGATCTATCATATGGCCCCGCCTCATCGATTCCGACTAGTTGCCATAAGCTAGTAGTCAATGAGTCTTGAACGTGGTTAGTAATGTAGTTGAGTTGTCGTGTGGCTCTTGCCTTAGTACAAGACGTACACGAACGTAGAGAAGAGCTGATCAGCCTATGCATCTTCTTACAGTAAAACCGACGTTGTAGTAGATGACATACCCGTCGTGATCCCAAGTGCATGTACTTATAGTGATAGATAGTCGATAGGACCCTTATGAGGGCTGACGTATACTTGCTGTTACCAAGGTAGATCACACCGTCGTCATCTTCTTCGGCATGGCGAAGTCGTTCTGGGCTAGGGTGACGTCTGACTATACCGTGTTGGTCGACGTAACAAATACGAGCCAATCTTCTTAGTTTACCACCCTTCATACCGAGGTCCTTGTAGGTGACCTTCTCAAGGAGAAGATTCTTGAAGTCCTTCAAGTCGTCGTCTAACTCTTGCGCACGTATTACGCAAGCACTGATGCGGTCTTCGTAGTTACCATCCTGTAGTAGCTCTGGGTCGATCTCTTCCACGCCGTGGAATCCACGGGCTTGGCATATCGTGCGAGTTCACGTAGTTCTTCTTGTTGTTCAGTGGTAAAGGAGCCGTAGTTGGGTAGGTCAATACCGTCACAGTTGAGAGTCATCACCAGAGCACCGACCGTTGAAGAGTTGGTTGTGGCGTTAGCCACGGGAGAAGTAGTAACCTCCTCTACTAGTTTAGCACCAGTGGTTGTTGTTGACGTATTCGTGGCGTTAGCCACGGGAGAAGTAGGAATACATTGGGCGTCCCTGCCGTTGGTGGTTGCAGTTGTTGGTTCCGTGGCGTTAGCCACGGGAGAAGTGGTGTATTGTGAGCAGGGTTCTTCATCGTTGGTCTCGACTATGTTCTCAGCCATCTCGTCATCCGTAATCTCCCTATAGTCAAAAACCACTTCGCTGACAGACATCGCCTTGCAGACGTGGGTACCGTCAATAACCTTGTCGTTGATCTTAGCTCGTGATATCGAGTCGGCATAGTTCAACTCAGAGGATATGTGCTTGACAATAACGTCTAACTGTCGGCACATCTCTCTAATCTCCTTCAGTCTTCGTCGTTCAACGACAGGTAGCTTCTTGTCCCTACTGGGACGTCGTAACCGATATACCGTGATCTCACTGTCACATAGGAGAACGACTTGTCGAGCTGGTAGATTAGGTACCAAGGGTTCTAGAGGTGACTGGTGAGGACGTAG